TTACATTTTTAAGAAAAATAGTTCTTAAGTTATGCTTAAGTTTCACCACGGATCACTGTTGGAAAGATCTGTATTGTGTGTCCTGAACAGAAAAATTGTGGTGTTAAAACCCAGAGGTGTACAGAGGTTGCTTTTGTAAGCCACACACACTTAAAATCACAAAGGCCATGTGGTATATCTAGATTCAGCAGATGATAATTAGAGGTAAACACAAGCTTTTTTCAAATTAGCAAGTTTGTATCATTTTTTTGTGTTATCCTGAAAACCAGTGGGAAGTTAGGAGCAGCTATCTTGAAGCCCGTCCATAGCACCTTGAAGAGCTGGTCTTGCGTCTCAGATTTCAGCAAGGCTCTCCTGTTAGTGTGGTGTAGAGAACAGGAAATAATTGTTACTTAAGGTGGTAGATTGTGCCTGCCTCAAACGTGCCATTTGCTCTTCAGGTCCCAAGGTAGGCTTCACTCATTTTCTGCACTTCTTGGGCAGTAGTTACCAGTTATTTTTCTCTGCCCTAATGTAATGCTGTGGCCACGTAAGCCTGTCACTAGAGGAGATAATTTAGGTTGCCATTGGAGGAATGTTCTCGCCTTCCTGTCCACACTGGTCATATACTAAAAATGTGCTTTTGTTTTCTATGAAAAAGAATGAAGCACCCTGCAAATTCTAGCACTGTAGAGTTGGCAAGATAAATATGCATGAATATTGGTAAACTGCTGCTTCAGATTGCCTGTCACTGAGCCAAACAAGTAGAATTAGATAGCATCTTAATTCTTAAGCCTTCTGCCGAAGGCAAATAATAGGAGTATAAGGTCTGGCTTGGCAAATGTGATCATTAAACTTCATTGGCTTCAGTAATATCCAGAACATGATGGCAGAAATATGAATAATTCATTTATTCAGAGCTTCACAGCCGTTGTTCTGTCAGTCTGCCCACACCAAATACCCAAGAAATTGATTAATCATTGGTGTTTGCTGATATATGGACACTGAGGGACATAATGTTTCTGGGTAGGTAAGGAAGCTTGTGTACCACTGGAGCTGCCAGCTTCTTAGAGACCTACAGGAAAATACCATATTTGTTATCCAGCAGCAAGGTGTTGTTGACTATCTTGGTTTTCCAGCACAATCCTTACACAAACTTATGTTTGTCTGCCTCAAGAAAAAATTTCTTCACATTAGGAAGGAAGCTGCTCTAAGATAAGCGTCTTAAGTTAGCTATTTGGTATTTCTGTTCAGGTGGTCTTAAAATTGAGAAGAATAATGAAACATACATCTGAAACTGTTGGCATAGCAATAGTTCTGCAGAATTACTCTTGCTGTCACCAGTCTGTCAGATGTTTCATCTGATGGCTGTTTATTTCACACTGCTATGACAATAGAAGGGGAGTTTGGTCCCACTCATAGTAATCCGTTTGGAACTTGAAAATACTGTTAGCTCTCTGATGGCATGGATCATAGGGATCACAATGTCTTAAGGTGCCCAGGCATCGAACTATATGAACCTTAAGCTGTCTTCTGCTGTAATAATTATTCTACAACATGTAGGGTGGAGTCTCAGATGCAAAACTAAACTTTGCTGAGAAGCTAGGGTGTAGGAAACTGCCTTCCTGGTGGTGTTGTAACAGACTGCGAATGAAATAAGTGTTTTGTTTGCTAGTTGAAACTAACATTGGAGGATCTTGTTGAAGTGTAAATAATCCTATACAGAAAGTACAAAGGAGAGGGAGAATGAATATCCTTTCGCTTATCACCAGGATCTTGAATATCCTTGAAGGTAAGGATGTAGCAGCTTTTCAGTTAATTCAGATTATACTTCAGAGAGAGTCTGTAAGTTTTAATTCCTTTTCCCTGGATCATTATGTAAGACTAGGCTCTTTATAATTAGCTTAATTCCCGATTAGGCTTGTGTGCACTAGATAATGTGTTTCCCAAGGCAAAGCATACAAGACTTGGTTGCCCAAATGTCTGTTGTAGAAAATCCATAGATTGCTGAAATCTAAAACTACTTTGAATTTCTTTATAATATAGCAGAATACAACTTTAAAATTTATTGAAGCTGAGTTTTGTGGGATGCAGAACTCATACTATAAATTGCAGGTACTGTGCTCCTTGATAAGGGAATTTCATTGTTAGGGTAATGTAATTTCTAGTAGTAAAAATATGTCAGGATTGAGGATGTTTAAGAGAACTTAATAAGAAAATTTCCCATTTTCTGGGAAAAGTAACATGTGCCAGACATGATACTTTGATGTTTTCGGGTTTTTTTGATGGCATTGTATTTCAGTGAAATGAATGCAACCTAGAATTGAAGAGGTGGCATAGTAGTTACAGTTATGTAGCTAATAAAATACAGACAAGTATTGCTTGTCTTTTAATTTAATTATCTGAAGTGTTTCAAGTAATCAGTACAGTTTTCTTGAAGATAATGTTT